GATATAGTGCTGAGTATTATCATCTTAGCTTTAGTTTTAGATGTGAACTTTATAGTATAGTCTGAATGCCTTAACTAAGTCATTAGTGAAAATTATCATAATAAAATTGAAAACAACTACTTAATGAGAAAAGCATGAACCAGCATTTACTGAGAGCCTATTGTGTCTCAGACTTTGAGATGCATTATCTCATTTTCATCTTTAGGACAACCTCATAAAGTAGGTAAACATTATCTACATACCCTTTTACAGATAGAAACACATGAAGATAGCATTTAAATTCCTGAGATCCTTTCACCAATTCTGAAAAAACATTTGATTTTGGTTTAAATTAAAAGATACATTTTGAAAATATGACACATTTTAATGCATAATAATAATGACATTGCTAATAAATTATGGCACATCTACTGGATGGATACAAAGATTATATATAGGGTTACCATATGTCTCCGTTTGCTCAAGTCATCCCAGTTTATACCTCTTGATGTGACATGATTAATAATAGCTCATTTTTAATTCTCAAAAATGTCCTAGTTTGAATGATAGATAATGTAGTCACTCTGATTATACAGCAAAATTGAAAGATAATTACAATGTAAAGGGAGAAAACATGATACAATTTTGCAGTGATGTTAAAACATTTAATTGGAAACCAGATTTAAAATACATGAAATGGTAATGAGAGTTGTGTTAAGAAAGTAGAATTCTGAGCAATATTTTTCTTTTCTCTTTTTATTCCAAATATTCTATAATATTATTAATTTTATAATTTACACATTTAAAATATGTAGAGTTTGTAATTACTATGGGAGAAATAATCATTTAATCGCTAAAGAAACTCTGGAAGTGGATAATAGTATCATCATTTTACAAATAAGGAAATTGAGTCTTGCAAAGATTTATAAAGGTCACAGAGATAACTATTAAAAGAACTATAATTCAAACCCAGGTCTTCTAACATCAATGCCCGTATGCTCAACCACTAAAATATATGGGTGTCTGTTGTATTATACTTTCTTTGTGTAGTTTGAATATACCATTTGAATTTAAGTGATTAATAAAATGAATGTGTTTCTTTAGTGGTGAGAGAATTATTTGCCAATATACATAAAGAACTTCTTTGAATTCTTTATTAGATCAGTCAAATGTGGAAAGTAATCAGTTACTTTAACTTTTTTTAAAGAAATTATGTATTTATTTGACAGAGAACGAGAGAGCACAAGAGGGGGAACAGTAGAGGGAGAGGGAGAAATAGGTTCCCCACTGAGCAGGGAGTGTGGTGATGTAGGGCTCATTCCCAGGACCCTGGGATCACGACTGACTGGTACCCAAGGCAGATGCCCAACCATCTGAGCCACCCAGGAGCCTTACCAATTACTTTTGAATAGTAAAATCATTTCCTTATTGAGAACTCCCTAACTTAGTGTAAAATATTGGATTTCACTGGAGAACTTGGAGGAGGATAACCCATGATTGTCATCTTCATCAAGTTTATCTAGCTTACTAGATATTTAGATAGCTACTAGATAGTTGGATAGTTAGATAGCTTACTAGTATCTTCCTCACCACTCCTTTGTAAACTCCTCTGGAAATGGTAATATTGATAAGTGGGGCCATTTTCTCTATTAGAAGCTACAAAATTGTACCATAAAGTTAAAAATAAATGAAATTATTTTCTTTTGCATACTTACTGAATTTATTTTTCAAATAATATGTTTTAAACTATAGTGCTAGCTCATTGAGGACATTCTTAAAACTCATTGTCTTCAAACAATTTATAATTTATCCCAGGAATAGAAAATACCTAACACTTCTATAAAGCAATTGGTTTCAGTGTTTGGTATAAGCAGTTTGGTATAAAATAATTGGCTAAAATTTTGCTAAATCTGTGAGTAGAATTCTGTAGAGAAAGTGAGAAAGAAGATACTAATTTTGAATGTAAGTACAGAGTAACTATTCAATAAATTCCTGTTGAAGTGAATTGAAATAAAAATATACATAGTATTAAATAAAATATACTGTATAAATAAGCACTTTAATTCTACATTTTTTTTTTAAATAAGAAAGGTTTGATATAAAATGTCAACACATCTTTGTTTATTACCAGACTGAAAAAACTATCTTACTTTGTATTCTGGTTTTTCATATAACTTATTTTTAACAGTCCAGTTTTACAATTGGAACCTGTACAGTGTGGCCAATTCTTAAATCCTTAAAGTGTTCTATACAAGATACCAGATTTCCTTGTAGCATAAGAAAAAGCCTTTGTCTGAGAAGCAGCAATAAACAAATATATTTTTGATCAAAGAAGTAGTATAATATAATACCATTTACTGTACGTACATATGCAGAATAGTAGACTAAGGGAAGCTGGACTAGTTCAAACTGTCCTTAAAACTAGGAAATTGGCATTTTAAAACTTTTTTTATGTATTAATAGCTACCACATTAAAGTAAATTATTAGATCAAAGGTTTTAACATTCTTGTCATTTTACATGTATTAGTTTTCTTTTTTAAAAATTCATAAATGATACCTTCTTTCCAATGAGTATAAGAACCATAAGGACATTAGGGTAAGATAGTAATTAAATGTATATTGAAATCTGTTGGACATCTGGACCATTATCATAAAAACTGTTATACTCTGAGGATATGAACTAATGTATTTCAACAAAGGATAACTTAGAGAAAAACAACAATCTCTCATAGGTTTTTTTTTTAATCCTGTAGGATAAAATTCAAACCTTGGAGTTAAGCTTTTAGTACCCTCTAAACCCTGTCCTCTAAACCCTGTCCCCTACTGATACTCTCAAATCTTAATGCCCAACACTGTTGTACAGAAAGTATTTTTCTCTAGAACTCATCTTCTCTTACTCTCTTAAGGTGAATTCTCACCTCTACATTATTCCTCTGCCTTCTTTCTCTTTTTCTATTTTCATGAATCCTACCTCTGTTTAAAGGAAATTTGTGGAAACAACTTCTATGAAGCCATAAAAAACAATCTAACTTCAAAATACAAACTGGAACAAGATATTTGCAACAAAAATAATCAATAGAAGAGTACCCTAACAGTGTGTAAAGAATTCGTACAAAGTAAGGTAAAAATATTAATTGCATTTAGTTTGGATTCCTCAGAAGTGGGTGTTTAGAAAGAATCTAAGCACTAGATTTAGGATATGGTCTCAAGAAATCCTTGTCGAGGATGTGTTATCCGACTATTTACTAGTATGGACAACTGGACCTTAAGCTCTCTGGGGAACTCTGGGAAACAGTATAAAACATGTATCAAAGTGGTGGCACACATAATGGGTGAATGGGCTGAAGTATTTATAGTCTTGTTAGTCATTAGTTGAGGGCTGTTCCTGAGGGACATTAATTTCTTAAGATGAGGGATATAATTTAAGTAATCTTTATATACCAGGACATATGTTAAAAATATTTACAGAAACAACATTTATAATAAAATAAAAACAGCTGTAATGTTCATTAAAAGGAGAATAATAAATTGTGGTATAATCATACAGTGGAATACTATGATAATCAATCATTGACATCAAAATGGGTGAATTTCACAGTAATACTAACTTTTAAAAGTTTCAGGAAAATATTCATTGTGTGACTTGATTTATATAATATTTAAAAACATGCAAAAACCACACTTTCCTTTAGGGATTGAAGTAGGTGGAGTATAGTAAAACTAAAAAACAGAATAATTAACATCATTCAGGAATTTGAGGAACAAATAGGATGAGGTAGTTAGGGAAGGGCATTCAGAGGTTCTTTCACGGTACTGCTTGTGAGATACACATGTACTCTTTTAGATATATAACTTTTCATAACAGAAGATTGGGCATAGGAAGAGAAACTCACAGTATCACAGAAGGAGGAGGAGGGGAAATAGGAAAAATGTGTACCAGAAGCCAAGACAGAGAGAACATTGGTGACAACTGTTGCTAGGCAGTGCTGGATACAAAATGAAATGGACTTAATGGAATTGGGACTTAAGAGGTCATTGGAGGCTTTGTTGAGTGCAGTTTCAGTAATAGAGTTGGGATAGATGCCAGAAAACAATGGCTTGAGGAGTAATAAAGAGCAGTGAGTATAGGCAAGTCTTTAAATAATTTTGTCAGTAAACTCAAGGAGGGAGGTAGGCTGTAATTTGAGATGAAGACAAATTTGAACATTATTTAGGGGTATTTTGTAAAAGAACATAGTAGTGTCTAAACCATTGATAAAGGCATTTAAAAATGTTTAAATTATAGGAAAAATTTAAATATTCTAATAAGAAGTCTCCAGGAAAATTGAGTTAAATCTTTTTGGTGAAAAATATTTAAATATTTCAAATAATTATTTCATCCAGCTGGTAAATTTTTGCAAAGGATATTTCTTTCAACTCTTTTAATGACTCAAAGCATTTAGGGTTCTGTGTAGTCAGAGTTTCAATGTTCTTGGTCATTTTTGTGGAAAACTAATTGAACAAATTTGAATTGCAGTGTACATGCATTATCACTTAGGGGGTCAGAATACTTATCCCTTCCTCTTGGGCAGTTTTAGTCATCATTGCAAAAACTATAGACACATGTTAATGATTTCATGAAAGAGTAAGTAGATATCCTTGCCTGACCATAAATATGAATTTTCTGTTGAGAAAGAATATTAAATTTAAAATTACAAAACATGGCATACAACTTGAAATTTTTATAAAAAATATCTCACTGGTGTGCATAAGGTTAGGGCAACAGTAGGAGATGATGTCACTGTGACATAAATCTCCACCTAGGAGAACAGTGTGGAGGTGGGTGAATGCCATTTATTTTAATAACAGGTAAAATTTTCAAGCTGTAACAACATGCTCAATAAATGCTTCCATTACCATGATACCAAAGGAGAATTGAAAAATGTATTACACTTCTATTTTCTCTCCTTAGAGATAAATATTTTTGTTCTGTTTCTATGGCAACATCGATGCAGTGACTAAACCTTTAACTCCTTTCTAGACTCCCCGATGGCTTCACGCAGCTTCTAAATCTGACCCAGCTCTACCTGAATGACGCCTTTCTTGAATTTCTTCCAGCTAATTTTGGAAGGTAAGAATACAAAATTTAAATGATGAAATTTTATTTTACTTTAGATGAGTAGTTACCAGTGCCAGTAGTTGAGGCTTCAAAGGTAACAATTATGATTAAAGAGTCATTATTATTCATTAAGTGAGATGATGTTACTTAATGAAACATTTTCCAAAATGAAGTAAAATTTGGTTTTTACATGTCACTAATAATCAAATGAATTCCAGGTGAATTGAAGAATTAAATATACAAAAAATAACGTCAGAGATAATCTAGAAAAAATGTACATGAATATTTCTGGCTCTTGGGCTGGGAAATACCTCTATAGTTTAGAAACAAAGGAAATTACAATAAGTGGGTAGATAGACTTGACTACATAAATACATTTAAAATAAAATAATATCAGAAAATATTTTTAAATTAAGGTAAAACAATAAACTGGTAAAACGTTTCCACTATATATGGAAGCAAATTATATCCTTAAGATATAAAGAACTCTTACAAATGAGTAAGACAAGGTTCTCATTAGAAAAGAAGTGAGTAAATGACATCCACAAGGAATTCATGATTAAATGTACAAACTGGTAGTGAATACATGAAGTGTTTATCCTCACAAACAATAAAAATAATATGAATTAAAATGATAAAGAGCTTTATGTTCTATCATATTACAAAAATTGTTTATACAGTACAAGGAAAAAAGGTAGTCTCACACAGCTGATGAAATTTCAGAATGTTATGACTTTCATGCCTAACAGTATGTTTTAAAAGATTTGAAAATATTTACAACTATTGCCTTTGTAATTTATTTCTAGAAATGTATGATATCCTTATCAGATACTACGCTAAGATTTATAAACAAGGATAATTGTCATTATTTATAATATGAAAAAAAGTGGAAACACAAATCTGTCCAGGAGATTAGTTGAGTATATTATGGTACCTCCATGATAATAGTATGTCAACTTATAATCCGGTTTAGGGAAATATTTTTTTAATTCCAATAAGTTATGTTTAGGAGCATATTTTAATAAAATATATAAATTATATTTCACCAATTTGAATATAATATATGAGTGAGATAAAAGACTGGTTCCTTGTTATTTTCATCTTCAAATTTTTCAATATTTTCCAGGTATTTTACAATGAACTATTTTTTATATTTAAAAGATACATCTTAAAAATTAAGACATTTTACATTTATCATCAATTTTTTTTTTCTAAGTGATCACTTTTGAAATTGTTCAAATGATAAATTGGGTATAACTCAATACCTATCTGTTGGTGTTAAGAAGAGCTCAGTAGAATAATTAAGTCTCTTAACATGTAGCAGCCTCATTTTATATGCAGAGAGTATATCAACATTTCCCAAGTTCCATTACTTTTGCAGATCATGATATCATACCACATAGGAACACCATATAGTTAGACGGTTTTTAAAATTCACAGATCTTCAAAAGAGCATTTGCCGAGTTTCTAAATGAATTGGCACTTCAACATCTGTTCATATAAACTGTCATTTTTTTCTGGTACTGACTGTAACAATACAAAATCTTTTGAATTATCAAATCGGAGAATATTTATCACCCTAGACCATACTTCTTTATCTTAAATTTTTCTCAGTTCTCTTTTAGTGGTCCTAATGTCAAGGAAGATATTTGTCCAAACAGAAAACATAGTACCAAAACCACTTGGAATTAGAATTTAATTTTGTGTAAATTGTCTACCAAGATATGCTCTACTTTAGTCTACTAAAGTCTACTTTAAGACTTAAGTCTACTTTAAAGACTAAAGTCTACTTTAGTCTACCACGCCCTATTATAGTCTAAAACGATTTTTAACTTTCAGCTGGAGAATTATTAAATTTCCTTCCAAAATGTGAGATTTGGTGCCCCTAAAAGCCAAAGTAAGTCACAAAATAACTTCATATTAGTACAGATATTGAGAAGAGTTGAGACATACTGATGTTTAAGAAACCTATTTTACTAGCAATATACCCATGCTCTGAATAACTGAATCATTTTATTTAATATAGAAATTAAAAGTTTTAAAATTAAAATTAAATTAGAAACTTGGTCACAGTCAAAACACAAAGAAAAGAGGAAGAGACCTAGATGAATATCTAAAAGCCAAGTAAATGTGGGAGAAATAGTTCAAATACTGAAATATTCCCCAAACACCAAGAATTCAGAGAATCCAATTAATATTTGTTCTTTTTTAAAAGATTTTTTTTTATTTATTTGAGAGAGAAAGAGATAGTAAGAGAGAGCAGAAGCCGGGGGAGAGGGAGAAGCAGCCCCCCTGAGCAGGGAGCCAAATGTGGGGCTCTATCCCAGTACCCTGGGATCATGACCTGAGCTGAAGGCAGACACTTAACCAACTGAGCCACCCAGGCACCCCTAACAGTTGTTCTAATGTCGCCTCAACAGAGTACATTTTAAAGTTCAGTTATAGACATTTTAACAATAGTGTGTCTCACACTGTAGAACTTAACAGGTAGGTAAGTGTGAGACGTAGGAACCTAAATAGGAGGGTTTGATTAATGCACCAGAGTGACAGTGATAGAATATGACAGTCTGGATTTCACCCAGATTCATCTGACCACAAAGCTCAAGCTTTTAACTAGTGTGCTGTATTATTTGCTTTACAAGTTCACTTAGAGTCTCTTGAGGGAGAGTATTGCCATATTCCAGTGAACACAGGACCTAGTATTAAGTAGATATTAAAGAATCTGTTACCTACAATTAAACAACAGTGTATATATTTTTATAAAACATGAAATTTAGATCACTTGGACCCAATGATCTCTTTGCATGATCTTTATTTTTAGTAAACCGGTATTTGTCATTGTCCAATGTTGATGCATCCCTACTTATAATCGATCTGTATAATTCTTTAAAGTCTGTAACCATGATATGTAAAGTTCAGACATAGTTGTTTGGATAATGCAATGATAACTGACTTTCTCGTAGGAATATTGTTTTATACAAAAATATTAAGGAGCAATTTTTTTATTCACTTTTACAGACTTGTCAAATTGCGCATCTTGGAGTTAAGAGAAAATCATTTGAAAACTCTACCAAAGTAAGTGACTGTGTATTTTGTAAATTTCGAATTGTGACTTTAAGTAGTAGGAAAAAAAGGACTATTTTTATCTTGGCTGTGCTTAGCCATTTAGATTGAGTTAATCTTTCTACAGTTTTTTCCTAGAGCTTGAAAAGCACAGTACACTGTAAGATTAATATTAAGTAAGAATATATTGTGCTTTATAAAACTGTGTAATTACAAGTCAATGCGGGCATAATCCGTTTAAGGTTCTTCTCATAGCGGAACATGCACACCAGGAAGTTACCGCGTTGAAACTTATGAAACTGACATTTTTATTAGCTGAAAACAATCAGCAGTTTCAAAAGGTTCAATCTAATCATTTGCTAATTCTTCAAGTTAATTTATGGACTGTGATAGCTTTCAATTTTTAAATCAAGAATATGAAAAAACATTTCATAAAAGTGATTAAAATTTTTCTAAAGATCCAAAATGGTTTGTCAGAAATTTTATACATTCTTTCAAACTGTCCCTTTTTACTAGTCTATTTAAAATTTGGTTTATATGGGCGCCTGGGTGGCTCAGTGGGTTGAGCCGCTGCCTTCGGCTCAGGTCATGATCTCAGGGTCCTGGGATCGAGTCCCGAATCAGGCTCTCTGCTCAGCCAAGAGCCTGCTTCCCTCTCTCTCTCTCTCTCTCTGTCTGCCTCTCTGCCTACTTGTGATCTCTGTCAAATAAATAAATAAAATATTAAAAAAAATAAAAAAAAAATAAAATTTGGTTTATATAAAAGCACAGGATATTTTTATGGGAAAAGTAATCCTCCAAATTGTATGCAATGTTTAGTTTAACAAAATACTTTGTTTCATCCTGTCTTGCCTTATTCATGTCTAATAATAGAATTTTGTCTTGTACAGAAAAAAACATTTTTGAAAGTCAAAAATTATTTAAAATGGGGAATTTTTTTACCCAAATAAATCAAAAGGACTTGTATATGTTACAATTAAATTATTGAAAGTACTATACTGCTATTATTACCCTCCTACAGTATTGCAGAAAGTGATGCACAGTGATTAATTTTTCAACATATAAGCAGGACTTCGAGACCTTTCTACTGCAGGACCAAAACTCAGTTTTTTTAATTCTTTCCCTAAGCTAACTAGACTGAATTTCATTGATTTTTTTAACCAAAATATCAATACAAACCTTAAAATACATTCATAAATGATGTTATATATGAAAATTCTGTCAATGCAATATTAAAGTTTCAATAATGATATGATTTCATTTTAAAAATATAGAGATAAAACATCTATTAATTCCCCCATAAGTGGAGACAAAGAGAGAACATGAAAAGGAGGAGATGTCTCCAAACCTGGACACCCTGCACTTTTGAGTAGCTTTTCTCTAAGCCAAACCATTATACAATATAGGTCTAATGGAGGGCACCTCTCCCAGGTTGGGGGCATAAACAATGATGGGAATATGGTTGAGAGTGTTACTTGTTTGGCAGTAATCTTCTGCAAATGCAGCTAGTTGCTAACATTGCCATCCGTAATGCTTTAAATGTCTACATTTAAAATAGAATGGAGGGGCACCTGGGTGACTCAGTGGGTTAAACTCTCTGCCTTCGGCTCAGGTCATGATCCCAGGGTCCTGGGATCGAGCCCCACATCGGGCTCTCTGCTCAGCAGGGAGCCTGCTTCCCTCCTCTCTCTCTGCCTGCCTCTCTGTCTACTTGTGATCTCTCTCTGTCAAATAAATAAATTAAAAAAAATAAATAAAAATAAAATAGAATGGATATATGGCTAAGTAGAAACCAAATCACAGAAAGTAAAAGAACAGTTGTCCCCTTCATCTAAATGTATACGTGTAGATCAAAGAGAAAATATGAGTATGTGGAGGAAAATCCTTTCCCGTCTGCTTTCAAATAATAGTTTTGATGTAAGTATAAAATAAATCTGACACAGATTGTCGGGTTTTTAAATATGTATATATTTCTAAATGGAAATTTTAAATACAAATTAAAATCTGACCATATATTGATAATAAGCACTTAATATGAGGTAGTTGTATTAACAGTTCATAGTAATGAGTAATGATGCTTATAGTTGGTGCAAGGGCATTCTGTAGGATTTTAAATTGTGGCACACTATCAAACAGAATAAAAATACTAGACTATTAACTATTATATTTATAGTTAATATAATAATATAGTTAATATAATATATAGTTATATAATATATGGTTATATATTATATATAATATATAGTTATATACTATAATATATATAGTTAATATAATATAGTAATTATATTAACTATGTCTGGCATTAAAAAACATTGTAGAGATGTGTAGAAATGACACTGGGTCTCCTTGGCAGACTGTTATGCGTGCATAAGTTGTATAGTTATTTTAGTTTTGCATTTAAAAAAATCATTTTCAAAGTTATATCTGATCTAGTATGCTATTTTTTAACTTATAGACAGTAATCTAAATAACCAAGGCCATGAATAAAATACAGAGAATATATTTTAGCGTTGCTGTCTATAAAATGAGAATTGCATAAAGTTTTGTCTTGAATAAAAATAAACTTTTCAATATATTAAATATAACACCTTCTAATCACCAATCTAAACCTGTAACTAAGAGAAATGTGAGAGCTTTCTGCTATCCTTTATTTTTTTACTTCCAAAGAAAATAAAGGAAAAAAGTCGTTTTAGGAACAACAATTTTAGTTTTGTAATGATTACTCCAACAAGAGATAGCTCATGCTTTCCTTAGAGATACAAACAAGATGCTAAGTCTTTATATTGCATCCTCAGTGATTTTCTCTTCTTTTCATTTTGTCTTAAAAGTCAATCTGTGCAAAATGTGAAAATGTGTAAGAATTATAAAATAACCTACATTAAAATGTATCCTTTAAATAAACTAATATTTTGACATAACAACATATTTTGATATATGCAGATTCTAGGACAAATTGTTTTTGTTACTACATACAAGTTACTATTATAAACTGTTTCTTTATGATCATTCTTCTAGGTATATAAATGAGTGAGAAAATTAAATTTCTCAGATACACATTTGCCTAAAAATCCCTGAAACAGTAGGTCTTGCTTATGTGTAATAATTGAGGATATTGAATATCTGAAAAATACAAATAAGCAAAAAGAAAACTTCTAGATTTCACGGTATAATTGTCCTCATAGCAGAATTATCTCCTAAATTACATTTTTTGAGGGAAAGCAAAAAAAATGAGTTTTTCCCATTTTGGAGTTTTTACGCAACCTATTTGTCTATCTAGAACTCTCTCACCAAAAATTTTTGCATGGCTAGACTTTACTTATGATTTATATCTTTCTTCAGATCTTACCTCTTCAGAGTACATCGCATAAGTTTGTCCCTTCTTAGCCTTTATGCCATTCCACTATTCCTTTTGATTTCGTTCATATTATTTATGGTTCTCTGAATTGTTTTGACTCTTTGTTTACTTAGAGATGATCTCCTCAGGAGAAATAAGTTCTGTTACGAAGACTTTTTTTTCTCTGTTTTGCTACTGCTGGATTTCCAGTGCCTAAATCAGTATCTGGTAAATAGTTAATAATAAATAAATAAGAATGCCAATATATTGATTCACAATTAGAAATATCTGTTATATGACCTGGACATTTTGTGTCACTTGATTACTTTTCTCCATTGAAAATTATAAGAAATATCTAATATTTTAATCAGATGAGTCTATCAATAGCTGATAGCTGAGCTTAGGTCTTTAAACCTACACGTAACAAACACACACACATACACACGCACACACATGCTCCCTCTGGTGGTTTTAAGTTACACATAATAGCTAAGGCACATCAAGGGAGGAAAATAATTTCAAATTAAGGAAATTAATATTTATAACAACTAAAGAAACTCCAAAAGTAGTGTAAGTTATTTCTTTGCTTTTGCTATTAAAATGTTATACATTTAGTCAAGAAACATAATATTCGTAAAGATAAAAATGAAAGGATAGAACAATATATTTAAATGAAATTCAGGAGGTGCCTGGGTAGCTCCATCAGTTAGATGTCCAACTCTCCGTTTTGGCTCAGGTCATGATCTCAGGGTGTGAGACTGAGTCCTGCATGGGATTCCATCTCAGCACAGAATCTGCTAGAGAGTCTCTCTCTCTCCGTCTCCTTCTACCCCTCCCTACCATGCAATCTCCCTCTCTCTCTCTATAAATAAATAAATTTTAAAAAAAATGAAATGAAATTTAGGAATTATTTAGGAAGTAATCTAACAGCATATAAATAGTGATAATGGTAAGTTTTATTCTTAAATAAAAATGCCCCATATTTGTGAGAATGCCTTGAGGACCCACATACAACATACATATAACTATTCATAAATGGCATTGAAATATATACCTTCTCTGAAATTCTCTAAGACAAAAAAGATCCCTTGAGTTATAAATCTAAATTAAAACCAGAGCTACATTAAAGCATTATTAAATGAGAGACATTAGATTAGGAAAGTCAAGAAAAGACTAAGGGGTTATTTCAAACTAAGGAGACATTATAACTAAAAGCAGTAATTCTGAATTGTTTCTTTTGCTATTAAAAAAATTATCGGGACAATCAGTCCACTTGCATGGAATCCAAGGATTACATGGTAGCCAAGTAGCAATGCAAATTTCCTAATTTGGATAGTTGTGTTTTGATTTGGTTGGAGAATGTTCTTGTCTGTAGGAAACAAACACTGAAATATTTGGAAATGATGGGGTACCAGGATTGCAATTTATTCTCAAGTAGTTCAGAAAAATTTTTGGTATGATACTTTGGAACTTGAAATTTTATGATTGTTTTAACATAAAACTTTATTTTAAAAAGCTGTTTTAAGATAGAAACCTTTTCAAATAAAAAGAAACACTATTGCCTTAGAGAAAATGATCAGCATCATTCTTGAACTACATGTATATATTGAGGACAAGGGGAGAGTTTTATTTATGTACTAAAATGACTCTATAAAAATGAACATTTTAGGGATAA